ACACAGAGAGAGAGAGAGAGAGAGAGAGAGAGAGAGAGAGAGAGAGAGAGAGAGAGAGAGAGAGAGAGAGAGAGAGAGAGAGAGAGAGATATTGGTTGCTGCGTCCTGATCACGTGTCGAAGATCACTGTGTTGCAGAAACTGAAGATATGCAAAACTGTGAAAGAAAGAAGAATACAGTAAAAGAAAGAAGTTGTGTCACCTTCCCTTGGCCTATCGGTTTTTCGTTTCTGCTCCTCTCTTCGATGGGGGCAGCTCGCGCTCAACTTCATCAACGTGGCGAGCCTTGTATGTGAGAGACGCAGTGGAGGAGGAGTTAAGAAGACTGAGAAATTGAATGATTTCAATGTGTCTTTGTTTTTTATTTTTATCCTTTGTTCAGTGTAAGAAAAATATAAAACGCTGAAAGAAATAAGAGTACACTAAAACAAAGAAGGAGAAGACACTGTTTTCAGTCTTTCTGGTTTGTCTGTCTCTTTGCCTGTCTGTCCTTTCGTTTTTCCTTTTCTTCGCTCATCTGATTTCTTCTTCTACTTCACGTGTTTGCACTAATAGTTCTGTGACAATATATTAGTCTGAGGGCATGGTCTGAATGTACACGTTTAAGGGGGGTAATATGAGGGCATGGAAGGGGGGTAAATCTGAGGGCATGGAAGGCGGGTAAATCTGAGGGCATGGAAGGGGGGTAAATCTGAGGGCATGGAAGGGGGGTAATCTGAGGGCATGGTCTGAGAGAGCAAATTATCCGAAAGTGAGATTGCCCAGATTGCCCTGAGATGTACAGGAGTTTTCGGTAAACAATTCCCGAAGCACTGTGGTGATTTGTTGATTGACTGACTGTTTTATGGGTTGATCCATTGTTTGATTGATTGAATTTATTGATCGCTTGAACGGATGAATTGATTGATTAAATTCGTTGAATTGATTAGGTGCATGCCAAGAAGGGGTCAGCTGAGGACCCGTGCTGAATGTGTCAGTCGGCGTTTACAGCCCACATTTAGTGGAAAATTGGAAATAGTCTTAAGACAGGATGAGTACGCCGTCAGATTTGCTGCATGCTGTTCGTGCAATAACTCAGAACAGTACTTCATGATTTACTGAGCACTGTGCTGTACTGACAATTAACCCCAGTAATTCACTGATCTAACCTTGTGCGAGGATCAGGGTCCTCGGTAGGCCTATGGGGCCCTGTTTGCAGCATTACCCGCCCTAAGTGAAGGCGGAGGTGCCCACTCTAAGTGAAGGCGGGCCTGGCTTTTTTGCAAGAGGCCCTCGACTGTCAATTTCATATTTGGGGTCCAGGCAGTTGCGACGCGCCAGTTGGTTGAGAAAAACACARGCCGAGCAACAAAGACATTTCYACGGCCCTCCGGGCCTTTCCAAAGGATGCAGGCCCTGGGCGTGATTCGCARCCTCATACRGAGACAGTTGGGCGCCCAACCGAACGAGGCCCAGCAGCCCAGTAGCTGCTGTACACAGGCAGCCTCCTGGGGCCTTCCGGAAGCTTCTGGGCCCAGGCCAGTGCAGCCACGCTGTGCGAGTAGGCCAGCTCTTTCCATAAAGGAAAGAGCTCACTCCAGGCAGCCTCATTCAGTCACTCGCATGCTGGCGGCAGCGCTGCTGGAGCAAGAGCTCGCAGCTGCTGGCTGGCGCTGAGAGGCGAGGTGCAGCACGTGCGGTCGTGCAGGGAAGAAGGGCACTGCTGAGGGCAGCGCCATAGCCCAGCCACCATAGCTGGTGGGCTTGGACTACAGTGAGGCGCAGGGGTGGTCTTCGGGTGAAACAAAGGACAGACGTGGGTGTAGTCAGGGGATAGGTGAAGGATGATGATGATGATGATGTGAGGGCACATACCTTGTATTGGCGATGTTCTGCATGGGCAACATCTTCAAGTACTTCGGGCTGCCGCTGATGTCAACAGTTGCATTGTCATTTCGTAGTCTGTAGTAGCTGTATAGGAGTAGGCTGGGCGCTGAGCGCCAAGTGA